CCGAAAAAACAATAACAAAAACAAGTGATTTGAAAAATATGGTAATTTCTAGATACAAAAGTCATTTACAGAAATCGCGATCTCATTGATTGATTGATTTAACCGATTGTATTGTTTGGTTTGATAGGCGAAGGACGGGAGCGAGAATTTGGTGGCCGTGAAGATATTTTCACTGCAAGACCGCAATTCGTGGCAAATTGAACAGGAAGTGTATCGATTGCCGCAAATGAAACACAAAAACCTCTTAACATATTTGGGTGCCGAACGCCGGGGCGAAGGGCTCGGCACCGAGTATTGGCTCATCACTGAATATCACTATAACGGCTCACTATGGGATTACCTCAAAGCCAATACTGTCGACTGGAATCAATTGCTTAACATAGCTCAAGGAATTGCCAGAGGTCTGTATCTCAGACCCCCCTTCCCAGCCCTACACATCACAAACAGACACTCATTTGTTATATTTTTGAAGCCTTTTTTGTTTAGTAATTGTTTCTCGGATTCGTATTCTCAGCAGTTTTTTTCTGTTAATATTTTGTTTTTTATTCAAACATTTGTTTCAATAGTGTATGTGTCGGGAGAGACACAGAGGGATAGAAATGAGGCATTCTTTTGGGTATTGAAATAAAAAGCAAACAAAAATGTGAGAACAGATTGATTGAGATTTAGATCTCTTTATGTATTCAAATACTGTATATATTTTTGATGAATAACTAATTTTTAGTTTCGCTTTTTCTGTAATCGCTTGGAAAACAGATTAATTGCAGGGAAAAAGAAGTTACCAACAGTTGTTTTTTGTTGCTTATTCTCCTATCCATTGTTATGCAGTTTTGTTTGTTTTAAACTAAATATTTTTCATAATAGAAATACTTCTTATCGTTTAATATAAGCGTAATTGAGATAATAGTGATAATAAGGCACTGGAAACCCGATATATACACATTACTCTTGGTTTTAATTTGAAATAATATTAATGTTTGTGTTTTTGATTCGCATTTCTAACTAAAGGCTTAACGCATTTGCACGAAGAGATACCGGCGTCTCATTCGGCAAACTTTAAGCCGACAATAGCTCACAGAGACTTCAAGTCGAAGAACGTGTTGCTGACCAAACACCTCAACGCCTG